CATCACTGACACAGTTATCTTCCTCATTGCTCTGTTTGTCCTGACAACAGCAGCGTTAGGAGCACACTGTATGCCCACTCAGCTCTTTTATAATTAATACTACGAATGTTGCTGTCTCTGTTTTGTCCATTTTCAGTCTTGTAGATGAGATGCACCATCTGAATGGATCACATCTAAATATAGTGCAAGTAAGCTAATATGCTATATGTTTGGATGAACTAATCTGTTCTATTTTGGAATATCTTTTTAGACCTCCTTCACAACAGATGACGACCCCACTACGACCTAAAAAAAATCACAATGTGAACAGTCTTTACAGGGTCTTGGTGATGTCTTCAGCTATGTATTAAGAAATCGGTGGGCTCCCCAAAGTGTGATAGTTTCAAAGTGGTTAAGAAAATGCATAAAACTATAGCCAGGTTGTGGTAGTTTATCATCATGGTGGCATCATATCAAGATCCTGGGTGGAAGTAAAATATATTTGTCATAGGTTTTCATCAACAACCTTTTTTTTCTAGACAACAATAAGATGGTAAATGGTGTGTGCTTATGTAACGCCTTTCTACCTGATCAACACACTCAAATCGCTTTCACTACAATCTGTGCTCTCATTTACCCATTCATACAGCACTCTACTATGGCTATACAAAGAATAATCAGTGCTTTATCACATTCATACACCGATGGGACACACATCTGAGGCAATGAGGGGGTCTTGCCCAGGGACACTTTGACATGTGACTGCTGGTGGAATTGAACCCCAAACTCTTGCATTGCATTGGAGACGACTGCTCTAACCACTCAACCACAGCCGCCCAATGATAACAAATACCAAACAATGCAAAAGCTCTAAAAAGTAAGCTACTAACATGTTTGGTGATAAATAAAATGAGATAAAAATGTCAACAATCCATCAGATCTAATTTCATTGCATACTGTATATAAAGTGAGTTGGAAAGAAAGAAAAAACAAGGCTCAGGGTAAGTTTTTTCAGGTGGCATGTAAACATGGATATAAAGCAACATTTGTACATCCTGAAATTCCTGCAAAAATAAGCAGCTGAAGCTAAGCTAACATTGCTATTGAGGCTACAAATTGAAATAAACCTCGGATGTTAAACTACTCATGCTGTGATTTAAACAGACATTTAACAAATATCTTAAGAAATGACTGCAGTGGGCATGTTAGGTGTCAAATGAACTCAAAACTTTTATTTTCTCTTTCTCTGTATTACACAGGAGGCAAAGAGAAGGAGGCTGCGGGAAACAGATTCTGAACAGAATAACTGAGATATTAAAAGTTATCAGGTTACACCATTAACAAGAGTAGTCCTGACAGTGTTGCATTACCACTTTTCATTAAATGTTCTTGAGATTTTCAGTTTTTGATATAATTACCAGTGAATGCAAAATTTATTATGATTATTAACATTAGTAGTAGCAAAAGCACTATTTGCATTATTGGTATTTCTCCCGGCAGCACGGTGGCACAACTGGTAGAGCTGCTGTCTCTCAGCGAGCAGGTCCTTGGTTCAAACCCCGGTCTGGGGGCCTTTCTGGGTGGAGTTTGCATGTTCTCTCCGTGCATGCGTGGGTTTTCTCCGGGTACTCTGGTTTCCTCCCACAGACCAAAAACATGCATGTTAGGCTGATTGGTAACTCTAAAATTGTCCCTAGGTGTGAGTGAGAGAATGAATGGTTGTTTGTCTCGTTTGTCTCTATGTGTCCCTGTGATGGACTTGTGACCCGTCCAGGGTGTACCCCGCCCTCACACAGTGATTGCTGGACATGGGCACCGGCGACCCCCTTGACCCAAAATGGAAGAAACGGGTAAAGAAAATGGATGGATGGAATTGAAATTCCTGCAAAAATGCAGTGTTCATGCTTATTTCTGAAGAACTTGCTGAAAAACAGCTGAAATGTAGTTGAAATGAATAACTAGACTAAATTAGCAGAAGAAAACAGTTATAACATATATTTGCTGAATTAGGTTTAAATTAGCAGAAATTAGCACACAAATGAGGAAATTAGCTAAAAAAAAGTTGAAATCAGCAAAAATAACTGAAAGTAGCTGAAAAGGCAGAAAGAAGTTTAAATTACCAGAATGAAGTGGAAGGAGCTGAAATTAATTCATAAAAGGTTGAATTATCTGAAAAAACAAAAATTAGTATAAACCATCTAAGTAGTAGCTGAAATAGAGAAACCTAGCAGAAAAAAGCTGAATTGAGCATAATACTTGCTCTGGTACAAGGTGCACGCTTTCTCTTCCCTCTCCCTGGGGAAGTGGAATGTGATGAATCTACCTCTGTTGTCAATCGAGGATGCCGAAATTGCATGTCATTGGATTTATGATAACAGGCTTCCTGTTTTTGGAATAGTCCAGTTCCTGGTTTATCAACAAACAAAGACGACGGTCGCAGCTAATCTGGCCTGGTCAAGCTGCGGTCTATGTAAAGGTTTGGTTCGTGCTTTGAGGACTCAAAATCAGCTAATTTACGAGCTAAATCGTAAGATGGATGTGAATTGAATCGCAGGCCACCTGCAGCTTTGGGACTCGTCAGCATGAAACGACCTTGAAGAGGCTCGTAAGCACAGACCAGTAGAATACACCCTAATCTGGACATTTTGGATCTTGGAAGTATCAGTAAAGACTCAAGGCTGACAAGAAAAATAGTATGCCTGAAAAAAAATCAACAATTGTAGCTTATTTGAATCTGACTTCCCTGGTAGGCCTCGAAACAGGCCAACATTTACATTTCTTCAATTTCTCCTGGGAAATGTGTAAACTAAGGAAAAGTTTTGTCTATCTATCGCATGACACACACACCCCTGCCACCCTCTCCCCCCTGCAACTTCTGTGGGGACTTATCAGAACTGTGACGGCTGACCATCATCTTATCAGGACAATGGACTATCTGTTAGTGCTTCATGGACTGCCTTGTCATCAAATGCATATGTAACGTGTTCATAATGTGCAGCTGGCAGAGTTTTTTGATGTCTTAAATTGTGTCCTGTTAGGACAAGGTGTGAAAAGATCTTTTTTTGTAATGCCACTATCCTCTCCTCGTGGCTTTGTCCCTTTTTCTATCTAAAAAAATATATTCTGAAAAGGATAAAAAGGCTGCGCTCTTAAAGAGCAGCAGCTACGTGCACTTCACCCATCTTTCGGACGACTGTACGGACATATTCTTGTTGTAGCTCGGTGCAATGATAATAACGCTTATTCTGATTCTGATTCTGAACAAGCTGAAATTAGCATAAAGAAGTTAATTAGCCTGAAAGTAGCAGAAATTACCACAAAAAACTTGAATTTATCTGAAAACAGCTGAAACTAGCTAAAAATGCTAAAAAGGTAGCTGAAAAGTTAGAACAAGCTTAAATTAGCATAAAAAAAAAACCCAGAAAGAACACGTTTGCCCAGTTAGGCTGAAAAAAACAGAAATGAGCACAAAAATATGGAAATTATCTGAAAAAAAAGCTGAACTTTAAATAAATAAATAAATAAATAAATACACCAGAAAAGTAGTCAAAATGACAAAAACAAGCTGAAATTACAAGAAGTAAGTGAGTGTACATTTTGGCTGAATTAGGCTGAAACAAGGTGCAAATAGTGCAAAAAATGTGGAATTAGCTGAAAAAGCTAAAATTAATATAGTAGCTGAAATATTAGGAACAAGCTGAAACGCAGAAATGAGCTGAAAGGAGCATAACAAGCTGAAATTAGCAGAAAGAAGTTAGAAGAAGAACAAAATTGTTGTAGTTTGCAGAAAGAAGCTGAAAGGAGGACAAAACAGCTGAAATTAGCAGAAAGTAACTGGAAAAAAAAAGTTTAAATTTGCACAAGGAAGCTGAAAGAAGCGGAACCAGAACAAAATGTGAAAGGAGCAATAAAAGGTTGTAAACAGATCTAAAGATTTGAAGGATATTCTTTTTCTATGAGGATAAAAGTGGCAGAAAAGGCTAAATATTTCACAAAGCTAAATTTGCACCAAATACCTAAAGTCATAGCAGGATTGTCCTGAAAGAGCTTTTTGATGTATGATTTGTTGAAAGAGCTTGAAAACTGCAGGATAAGAATCGTACCGACAAAAGCACAGAAGAAAAGTGGATCATAATAGTGTGATTGCTTCAGAAGCATTCACACTATTAACTAAAACTGAGATGATGACTGATAATTTAGACCAAAACTACAAAATACATACGTTTTTGCTAAAAGTTTGACTATACAAATTTGTCACTGTGATGCATGGTGGCAGCTGTGGCAGTTGTGGCAGCTGTGGCAGCATAACTGTGATGTGGCGCATCTTGAATGTTGAGAATATGAAGAAGAACCGGTCATGGTGGCATCATACCAAGACTAACAAAGACATGGAAACAACTTCATGCAGACGTGATACACAGGATGGTAGCGTTGAGCTAGCATGACGTAATATTCCAGAGCTTATTTTCACTCTGATGTGGCTCAAGAGAGTCAGGCCAGAATGAGTCGGAAAGATTAAGGGAAAACCTCTTTGGTGAGGACCAACGTAGCAGCACCACAACGGCCTTCACTTGCAGTGATCCTGCCACTATTGTAGAGGCCATAAAGAGCAAAGCAGGGTCTTACATCCGCTCCATTCTTTTTTCTCAATACCAGGACTTCAAGCAACACATCCCCTAACAACAAAGCTCTCCATCTTTAAGAGCTTGGTAAGGTTCAATGTTTCTTCCTGTTGCAGTAAGGAGGTTGTTTTTTCTCATATTCACATTCATGTTTGTTCTTATGGGTTCAGGCACTGGCTTCTGAAAAGTAGTTTGTGACTATTTAGATTGATCATGCTGCTATATAAATAAAACTGAGCGAAAAGCCTGAGCTGGACCGTCGAACTGTCACACATCTTGTCCAGTGTCAGATGGAATATGCCCCAACAGCCCCACAACCCTCAGAAGAATGAAGCAGGTATAGTTAGGTGGACGCCTGAACCGAAGTGTGACTCATACTAATGCAGGCCCCCTCCTCACCTTTGTGGTCTTCACTTTGTTCCCAGAGATGCACGACCAACCAGTGAGGTCAGGAAGAACTCGGCACTCCTCCCCTTCCAGACACGGCTCCATTTTACACCACCATTTCAGTCGCACAATAGACGCTGGAGAGAGGAAAAAAAATGTCATGTCAGAAGGTCATCTTTTAGATTGAAGGACTTCCAAAACTAAAAAGAAAAAAGATGAGCTGTTTGGAGAGAAACATCCCAATTGGATGTCACCCGCTGGTCCCTAAAAGCCTCAGTGTTAGTGAATTCCAGTGAAAGGAACTCGACTTTGACTTGAAACTCTTTCATGTCACATCAGGATATTTCCTTAGAGGAGAGTAAGGAAAGGATTTTGGTGATGTTACCTTCCACGCAAGAGGGCAGAGCCTTCGTTGTCCCTGCTACCTGTCCTGGGAAGCAGGAACACTTGACTGTTTGAGAGCGCTCTTCAATCTTGTTCTTATTGCAGCAACGATGAGCAGCAACTACTTCACAAGTCCCCGTCCTCTCCTGTGATGATCCTGAAAAAGGAATTTAGTAGGGAAAGGTAAAAAAATAATAATCATGCAGGGAGGTATAGAGAGGCGGCAGTGGAGGGGAGACCCTGGGTGACTTTAAATGACCATTTTAATTTGACTGTCCCAGTTACTGGAAGGTTTATTTTGAACTTTGTTAGATGTTTAATTCAAAGGAATGTCTTCTGTTCTGGTAGGAAAGAGGATCAGTGAGCACTTCTTGTTGTTTTGTAAAGCTACAGCGCCCCTCGGTGGACATGAAGCTCAGAGGGATGAACAAAATAAGAAAATGTTGTTGTTTTTTTAATTAAAAACAGAAGCCAAAAGAGCATTCAGGAAAAAAAGGCGGAGCAAAATAATGAACTAAAATTTGTTGTGCTGGAAGCAAAAAGCAAAACCATTTGAAAAAAAAAAAAAAGCGCTACTAGACTAAAAATATTTTTAGCAAACAGAGGAAAAAAATTTAAGCTAGTCAAACATTAAACTGGATTGTACACTGAAACCATGAAATACAGAATAGCATCACATTAAACCAAGACAAAACCCAAGCGCCATGACATGACGACCTGCGTCACCATGGCAACCCACGCTTCAACATGCTCCAAGCCAGGTTTGGTTTGCAGATGAAAAATGTCACACTTGAACCCGCTGCCTTGAAACACTCACTTCTTTTATAAAATAACACAAATTAAAAAATGCTATGATGCACAACTAGTGAGAGGAACTGCTCGCTGAATTAAAATGAAAGTGATAACTCAGGGGCTCGCTCCTATTGACCTTTAAAGATGTGCAGCATTTAACTTGTCTGGTTCAAATGGTTTAAATAGCTATCACCTGCTACCAAAGGTGAAAGAGTGATGATGTTTTTATCCATGTCTGTGTGTTTGTTTGTCGTGTTAGTAAAATACTTCACGACCCAGTGGATAGATTTCAATGAAGCACTCAGAAAGTGATCACAGCAAGTTTGAGTCAAAATGGCCACCACAGCAAATTGAACTTAACAAACACAAAAAATGTCTATACCTAGGTGAATCTTACAGATAGTGAGATAAATTTTGTGTGGTAGTAGCTGGGAGTCATCCTCAATGTATTCTCCGTGCTAACATCTTGCAAGAAAGGTTTGGTTAAAACATCTGCAGCTTGTTCTCAGCAGATTGTCTCAGTTTGAATCTCTGGTTATTTGTACACTTTCAATGAAGTCTTGAATTTTTTTTTATTTTTCTTTATTGATGTCTTTGTTCAAAGAGCGTTTAAAACAGCAGTAACATACCTGACATACGACAGATTACTACTACAAAATCCTGATGCATGCTCAATAATCCAGGTAGAAAGATCTAACAAAGGTTAGTCGGGTCCTTCGTCTTCAGACGACTTGGTCAGACTGACTGACAAAGTCTTCTGGATAAAACATGAAACGTTTCAACAACAAGAATCTGTCCACAGGACCTGACTTAACTTTGTCGTCCTATTAAAATGTTCCCACTCTCAAAAGCACATGATGTTCCTTCTTCAATGAGATGGAGACATTTTAAATGGTCACCACATGAGTTATATATTGTCCACACCCATCTGGGCCCCCAAGCAAGGCCCCCAAACCCCAGCTGCCATATCACGTGGGGGGTTGGG